TAAATTAAAAGAAATATTAATAATAATATATAATAATAAATAATAATAATAATAAAAATATTAATAATATTAATAATAATATATAATATATAATTGGTGCACAATGACATAAAACAATCCTATCAAACATAAACTATAAGGAAATTGTTTTGTGACAACTGATCTATGATTTTACTACGCAGAAATAGTATATGAAGGTATAGGATATATATCATCTATTGATTAGACATGGTATTTAAGCCTACTTTAATATGCCACTTTAAAAGTGACAACTCTCCGCTTTACTCTCATCTTATATAGTTTAATGTTAATGAAAGCTTATTTTGATCAGTCATTACATTTCAAATGATCTGATATGTGATTACTGTCTTGAACTATGTGTAGTGCATAATGATAGCAAAAGTCTGAGGTCAGTAAACATTGACTTTTAAAGGCCCGTTTTCCAACTGATATGATGAAGCTGTTATTCTTTAAAATTAGAGACATAGTGAATTACAGAAAAATTCTTGTCAGATTGGATGTTTTCTTCTTGATAGAGTGTGTATTCTTGATTTAAAAAGCTTTTGGCACTACATTTGATCCATACTACGCTAAACAACATTAAACGCCTGGAATACTCATTCTTAACTAAAAGCTATGGAAACCTATGAGCAAAACACAAATATTATCTACAGAACAATAAACATAGTTAATACTGACGGCAAGGAACAAAGTTCGGACTGAACATTTACAATACAAGAATTTCGATGGTGAAGCCTAAACTGTCGTCTTCGGTCCTATATACATCAAATATTATGATCAAGTTATTTATTATCTTATTACAATCAAATACTTTATAAAATAGTTAAAGGCACTTACCTTACGAAAGTAAACGCCTGAAAAAATAAAAACTTTAGAAATTACATTAACATATATGAAGAGGTTAGACTCACCTTGAACCTTACCGGAAATTTCGAAAGTTGCTGTGAACAACTTTTTCAAGTTTTGTGCACTCATTTTTGCAAACTGTGATTAATTTTGAATGAAAGTACACAAAAACTCTGTGAAAATGACTAAAATTTTGAGTATCTTAAATCCGTAACTCTAATCATATAAATAATTTTTATTTTTTATTTGGAATATCATATTTTTATTTAGATCCAAACAATGTTTACTAAGATAATTACTTGAATATCATATCGTACTCGTATACTTTTTCAATAAGAAATCTTACAGAAAAAAAATTATATACAGGTTTAGGCGACTGAAGTATTAGCTATTTGAGCGACTATATCTTTTTGTGTGAAATTATTTTTTATTAATTAAAATTACAAAAAATTGTGGAAATAATCAAAATTTTAAGAATCCATTCACTCTAATTCGATGTGGCTATATTTTACCTTGACTATAGCCTTCAAACAGTTAAAAAATAAGTTGAGTGAGTGATCTTCCGGTATTTTAGCCCATTCCTGATCAATAGCTTTCTACAGCGCATCCATAGTAGTAGTATATTTTTTAGTCCTCATATTGCTCTTCATAGTCCATCGGATTTGCATCTGGCGAATTTAAAACCTATTGTGTGGATGAACTGATGTGTGGAACATGATGTCTTAAGCATTTTTGGTTCATTCTTGAGAGATAAAGCTTGTGCTTTATAAGACGGTGCCGAGTCTTGTTGAAACGTCCATGATCTACGACCTAAATGTTTGCAAGCCCACGACTTTAAAGCTACTTCCAAGATACTGACCCAATAATAACTTGCATTAACTATCTCTGTATATAAAAATACGTAAAAATATAAAATTAGATATAAATACATATATTATAATTTGTATAAAATACATTTTATAAATATAAAAATTTATATAAAATTATATAAAAAAATAATTATGTAAAATCAAAACACTGTGAACTAATCAAATAGTCTAAAGTATGACACAGTGGTGTGTCATAACTCTTAAAACCATATACGGCCAGTACATATAAATATGTCTAATATATCATTATCATTATTAAATGTTTATATATGTATGTATATAATACATACCAGTTATATGTATTGGGCTCTACTTTTGAACTATATTGAAAATGTTGCTCAGTAGATGCGCCTTGACTTAAATCGTTGTCAAATCGGGCGGTACAAAAACAGAAATATTGCAATGGGAAAGAATGAAGTTGATATTCTTCATTTTCTGGAACCATATCTTCTATCAGCTAAAAAAATGTTTTTGTTTATGGCATTTTAATATAAATTTCCATACATTATATACTTTATATAGTTTGTGTTCGTATATATGTATGTAACTTTATTTCATTATATATAACTGAGAACTCAATATCTTAAATTCTTAAATAATTAATTATTTTATATTTATTTTATATATTTTTTAATGCTACAAGTAAACAGAAACTATAGGTAGTCGTAAAAAACAACTAATTAACTCTAATTATGAAATACGCAAAGATGTCAAGCATCTACTATTTTCTATTATTATCACACACAATAATATTGAAGAAAATATTTAATTTTACATTAGATAGAATAAAATTGTAGTTCTATAATGCATTCTCCAATTCCATAAATATTTTTCAGCTTTATAGCCTCACCGGAAACTGATTTTCTTATGCAAGTTGGCGTTCTAGCTTGTATTAGTGAAATGCACTTGGTGATAGCAGTTGTTTAAACAATAACTTAGACAATACTTAATATTTTTTATTTAATTAACAACTTTTTATAATTTATGTAGTTCAGTAACAGAATTCACGTTTCCAAATGAACTTGAGAAAATTAACCTATAAAAAGTATGTGAAAAGCTTCTCAGTGAGAAATAAATTTTATATATTTTAAATAAATTATAAATAATAAATTATTTATTAGTCTTGAAAGTTTATATTACTCATTTCTAAATTCTTTACATATTAAACTGTTAAATAAAAACAAAGGTTTTTCGGTTACATTTCAGTGATTTTCATTAAAATAAAATTATATTGAAAGCAAATCACTTGAATTATTAATTTGCTGGTTCAATAAATCTAATATATATCAAGTTATCAAGTTTTTGCGATGAGAAAAAGTAATTCAATGTATTTACAGCACTGAATTAATTTTTTATTTAATATTTATTATTATTTTAATAATATATTTATATCCATAATAATTAAAAAAATTCTTAATAACCTCAAAACAATCAACTTATTAGGCGACAATTCTAAAGATAACTCTAATTTGGGTTCCTCGTAATACGAATATGTTAAAAAACACATGACATACAGACTCCAAATCTAAAACATGATTTAATCCTCAAAATCAATATAGAAGTTTCTACAATAATATTGATTCATGATTTAATCCTCAAAATCAATATAGTAGTTTCTACAATAATAGTCCACTGAATATTGAACTATAGGACGATATGAAGACAATTCTGGTCCACCCCACCGAAACTCCTAAAAAACTCATAAACAATTTATGAAGATCACTTTTCCGATTTAGTATTCAAACCTAGTTACTATTAAGAGTGACATAACCTACAAGCTCAAAAACTTCTGATTTAGTCCCTAGACACAAGATAGAGGTATATTAAGTAATATCAGTTCTCACTGGCCACCGGACTAGAGAATAATATAGAAACAGTCTGGGGCTACTCTATCAAAGACTTTAAAAATCGTGTTCCCATGTCAAGATCACTTTTTGCAATTAAGAATGGAAGAGAGAATAAAGTTAAAGAAACTAACGACTTCATACACCATATCTAGTCTTTCTGATTTATTTCACAAGATTATATAAAAAAAATACAATAGAGTCAGGTCTAAAGGGACCCTAGCTTATAAAAGAACGTGATCACAATCTGTTTCAGCCCAATTGAAACTTTTGTAGATCACTATCCGTATTTCTCGAGGTATTCCCGACCAATTTCCGAAAATAATAAGGTTTGTTTTTATTCATTTGAAAAAGTTTTGATCTCAACTTTATTAACCCAAATACTTGAAAAATAATACTACATTATTAAAAATTATAGGCTTGTTTCATAGCATTTTACCCACTTTCATATATCTAGAAAATTTGATATTTACATTTCATTTTTATATCGTCTACTTTACATATATTTACAGAAAGCAAAAGATGAACTTTATCAAACAACAATATTTCAAAAACAAATTATAACGAGTTTAAACTGATTTATTTCACACCCAGAGAAACAAATTTTCCATTATTGAAAGTAATTTGCGTCACATTAATTTGCTAAATTAATATAAATGACAAATTTTTAAAAAATTCGCTTAACACACGTATGCTACATAAAAATTTCTATAATAATTATTTAATTTATAGAATATAATAAATAATAATAAGGTATAATTTTACAACAGAGGGAAGTACATTGAATGGGGTCGATCTATTCTGTTAGCAATCAACAATAGCAGAACTGAAAGCGTTCAACCCATCGAATGCATATGAAAGTTTCTCCCGTTGAAGATTGTCTAAAGTCGAAAGGGAGACTTCATTACATGGAGCGCAAATACATGAAGAAGAAAGAAAAGGAGGTCATTACTCACGTTGTGACCTCGCTTAACAGAACAGAGCCACCATACAACATTTCCTATGCTTTTGTTCTATACTCTCAAGACTCAGACTTATAGTACTCAAATCCGACGTAGTAAGTAGCTCAAATATTCGTTTCTTACCTCTTGGAGATATTCTTCGCTTAATTGAACAGAGCCGAAAATTTCTGTAATTTATCGGGATGATATCCACAACGATGATGATAATAGTAAGTACCTCAAATTAACGTTTCTTACTTCTTGGATACATTCTCCGCTTTTTTGAAAGGAGCTAAAAATGTATGTATGATATTCGCAACGATGATAATGATAGTAAGTAGCGCAAATATCCGTTTCTTGCCTTTTGGAAATATTTTTCACTTTCTTGAAAGGAGTCAAAAATGTTTATAATTTATCGAGATTATAACCACAACGACGATATTCATTATGCAGGATCCAATAACTACTCATTGTAAATCTTCGCGGTCTGCGACTATATTTCTTTCCACATTTCATTCCCAAGAAGTGGTTTTAGTGGTCTTACAAGATAGTTTACAATGGTTTTTAACTACTAATTGAAAAAATATTTAATTTTAAGAAAAAAATATTTAACATTCTTAACAAATTTGGTAGCTGATAAGTAGGGTTTACAGCATAATATAATATTAATAATAAGTTCATTAATTGTTGTTTATATAAAGAACAACAATATATGAAACTTAATAACTAAATGTAACTGTTAGAAGAATATACGACCACCCATATGACAATATTATCTTGTAAAAAATTTGTAAAATTGTATTAACGGTTTTTGAACTTCGTCAAAACCAAGGTTAACTGCTTCTCTAAATAGTTTTTACTCTACGATTGTTAATACATGGTTATAAAGTTTTAACGGTTTTTAATAAAAAATATTTTACACAAGTTTTCAATTTTTAAACACTTAAATTTAATAACTAGTTATTAATAATATTTTTAAAATAATTTGACTATCTAAAATTTATTTATATAAGTTTTAAATTATTTTAATTAATTATATGTTAATAAATTTATATAACAATGGGTGCCCTCTAACATTATCTTATATTGCAAATCGGAATAGTGAATTAAATAAATTTTTCTTAATAATGGAAATTTTCTATAAATTATAATTTATGCGAATTCAATCTTACTGAATTCATCTTTAAATATTTAATAAATAATCACGAAAAAATCTAGGTACTTTTTTAAACTATTTTAAATGTTAATATATGTTAGGAACTGAGTAAAATTTTTTATTATAAACTTTATTTTCATTTTTAGCTTCTATACTTACTCACGTGTAATTTGAAATTTAATTTAAAAATAATTAATTGAAAATATTTAAAAACGCAATAGTTGATATAAGAGTAAATTTTTAATTAAGAACATTCACTTTTGTTATATAAAATAATGCCAACTGTTTTTCACAACAAAATATTTACTACTCTAATAATAATATTTTCTAATTACCTAACAAAATAAAATACTTTTGAGAAATATCTTAAATATGCGTTTTTTGTTTTTAGTTAAGTGTTTTAAGAGATTTATTCGAACAGTAGTGAA